AGAGAGAGAGAGTCATTATGACCCCAATGCCTCCCACTCAATAACACAAGGGGTGGGGGGGCGGGCCGAAGGCCTGAGGGTCGCAAACATGCGACCCCTATGCCCTGCAGAAAGAAAGAAAAGAGAGAGTGTGTGTGTGTGTGTGCGCGTGCGTGCGTGTGTGCGCACTCGCACGCAGTAGCAGATCCCAAGCTCATGCATGGGTGAGTGTAACATGCATGTGTGTCTACAGAGATATGTACAGGATAGGCTGGCAACTTGCTTGCAAGTAGATAGATAGGTAGATGGCTAGTAGGTAGATCATAAATCATAGATAGATCGATAGATCGATAGATAGATAGATAGATGGACATTTAAATCGGTTGATAGATAGAGAGAGAGAGAGAGAGACAGAGACAGACGGAGAGAGAGAGAGAGAGAGAGACAGAGAAAGTGTGTTATAGAGAGGCGGAGAGACCGATAGATAGATAGATTGGACAGTTAAATAGGTAGGTAGATACATAGATAGATAGACAGAGTGGACGACGAAGAGATAGGTAGGTAGGTAGGTAGGTAGGTAGGTAGGTAGGTAGGTAGGTGGATAGAAAGATAGCTGTATGGATGGACAGATGGACAGAAGCTGGCTGGCTAGCTAGTTCGGCAGGCAGGCAGGTAGCTAGGTGGGTAGGTGATCGATGGATACATGGGTAGGTGAACTGATAGTACATGCTTAGGTAGATGATATGCATACTGAACCTGCACCTGTATTCGCTTAGGTTAATGTACATGAACTCTGTATGTGTTTTGTTCATGCAGTGGCGATGTTTATGTTCAAAATATTCTTCTCTCCTTTTGTTGTTTTCCGAAAGTCAAGGAACTGGTGTAACCGCGTATCCGCACATGCGCACGGCGAAACAGGTGCCGCCAGCCACAGGCTTGCACCGCTGTACCCCTGATCAAGCACTAAACCCTAGACTTTGACGGCATGCAAGTCCTTGTAGTTGTTAATGTGTTCCAGAGTCATTTATATACGTCGGACATCCAGAAGATGAGTCTTCAGGTGGCTGTTTACACGCCGCAGCGGGACGGCAACTTGTCACCGTCTACGAAGCCGCTACGGTTATCGAGTGTTGCAGGATTCCTGTGGGATGTGGGGTTCCGTAGACTGAAAGCGAGTGCTGTAGGATGTGTCTCGGTGCCTAGAGGACGTGCAGCAGTAATGGACAAATGACGAAACTGACACGGCAGAAATGTGCGTGACCTAAGAGCAGATCTAGCAGCGGAGCGGGCAGCGACAGTTCAAAGCGGAGATCCGTACTTTGCCAAAAGCGATCTGTAGCACCGAGGCGTTCGTGAGAAAGAGCTCCGGCAGGCCTGATAGTGCTGCTGCATCCCCCGTCAGTTCCAGACCCAGCCCAGAAACCATTCTGGCCCCAACCCCCAAATCCTCAGCTTCCCAAACCTGAGCTCAAAGCGAGTGAGCTTCTTTCTGCAGAAGTTTGCTAAGCCCTAAAGGCCCTATAAACCCTAAAGTCTAAGCTTGCTGCGAGGCTTTAAGGGTGACCCTGTGGGCAAAGCACCCGCTTCTCTTGGCCGCCGAGGAGGGTCAGCAACCCAGGTAGCTCAGGTTTCACGCATCATGACAGGAGGATCGTGTGACTTAGGAACTAAGGTAATACATATAAAGGTTACTATGTACTTACGCCTTTACTTGTAAATACGGTAGATAAGGAATCTCGGAGAGTTTGCCCTGCCTGCGGGTCAACTCGGATCCCTTGCAACCAACGCGAGCATGGGCGGTCTGCGACAACAGCCATATTTCATGACACGCATCAAACCTGAAAGGCAAGTGCACCGAGGACCCCAGCCTTTCGTTTTTGGGATTCAGCACCCAGAGAGTTGCGGCGGAGAAAGCTCGTATAATCAAAGTGATAAGATTGAACAGGGAGACTGGTGTGGAGAATGCAAGAAACCGGAGAGGATTGGAGGTTTGAGATCTGGAAATTGGTGATCTGCTAAGATCCTGGAAAAATGCAGGCATTGTGAGTTATGCTGCCGTATCAAAGGCGCCTTCCCAAATCCGATGTCCTTGCGAACTTTGGCAAAGGTTCGGGCCAACATAGGCTATTCTACGCGTCATCACAAAGGCTTCACGATGATGAGTTGCATAGTTCAATTTCGTCATCACCAGCAGCAACATCATTAGCATGATCGAATCAGCGTCAGTTTCATCAGCGTCCTCTTCATCTTCTTTTATTCTCACTAGAAGCATCATGTTCAATCCCGCGAGGTTACGATTGTCAAGATGGCAATGCACCATTGGACATGTGACCGGTGACCGCGATGGTGCCAGGTTAGCTAAGATGAAGATGGGAGGATAATGTCGAAGAGACAGAAAATGAGGTCGCGGACAAAGCTCCCCGAATCAGTAAACCCCTATAAATTCTAAAACCCTACAAGCCCTAAGCCCTAAACCCCTATAGAACCCTAAAGCCCTACAATCCTTAATACAACCAAGAAGTCCTGAAGACGCGGCCTTGAGCCCAGAGGCCCCCGAGGCGCTTCAACGCAGGGCTGCTGTCTTAATGGCTTCGAGGCCGGGCCAGTCTGCGAGGCTTCCAAGCGCTATGTGAACTGATGCAATTTGTTCGCTTATGATCTGGTTGACGGATGTCAAGTTTGACCTTTCTGTTGAAAGACTCTCACACACAGCAGGCAGTGGAGTGGATGCTGGCGGAATCGAAGAGCCGCATGCCCAGATCGCATCAGAATTCCGGACGTGGCATTAGGGTTGTTTTTTCCGGAGAGCGCAATTTGCAATGCTGGATGCTTCTAGACCTGTAGTGTTCAGGCACTTCCGTCATTGTGTGAACTCCCGTAAATCTTGGAGCAGCGGCTTGAGTGGCTGCTCTTGAAGGGAGGAGGAGCTTCACGCTGCTGCACTTCTCGTATGATGGAAGCTTGGATCTGTGGTGTTGGCGCGAAGCCCTCAGCCCGAAGCTGTTAAAACCCCCGAAAATCGCCAACGTTCAAAACCCTCTGAGGCCAGTGCAACGAGCACAAGCTGGAGCATCGCTTGCTGCTTTTGAGGCACAGAGACGCGCGGCAGGTGTTTCAGGGCACACGGTTTAGGGCCGCCAACGGCTTGTTGAAGAACTCGTGACGAAGTGCATGCAACTATTGCGACCTGGGCTGGAGGAGGTTTTCAGTTTGTTTAAGGTCTTGCGGCTTTCCCACAATTCTCCTCAGACCAGAATATGTGTCGGGATAAGACGCTTGGTGGGGTTGAATACATGCTTTACATTACACATATAGCATGTCTATCAGTAGTGAGAAGGAGATCCACTTAAACCGTAAACGCTGAGCGCAGGAGCGATTCGACGCACAAGGACATTTGCACGGCCGCAGAGCGCTTTGCAACCGCGCTAGGACCTCAGGTCCAACGGGCGGTTGGAAGTTTCTGGAAGCGAGGGACTCCGATATTGAGCCCGGAGTAGAAATTGTTCTTCTTTGGGCTTCTCAAAGTGTGGACTTCAACAGGAAGTCCCGAGTTCTTCTAAAGCTCACGAGTTGAAGAGTCGGACCTGCAGATCGGTCCAGTTCTCCACGGAACCTTTGCCTTGGGCGGAGGAGTCGACAAGAAGTGAGCAATTAATATAATACAGAAAAATATAGTATATTATAATGTATAGTATAATATAATATAATATAATGCATGTCCGGAGCCTTCGGGAAGTCGTAACAGCGTTGGCAATGGATGAGTGGTACCTGTGTAGACCCATCTAGTAAGCCACTCTGTATACACATCATGTACATGTGTATGCACAGGTATGATCATACATGTATATTTGTATGTATATCCATTCTAGTACACGCACACACATGTGTAAAAGTACATAGGCAAACTTCCTATTTTGGGGGAAGGAACATGCATCGCCGTGGCATATGCGGCTTGCCAATTCGTTCCTGCCGAAGAAGCTTCTCCACCAATTGTATCGTGCACCACATCGTAAATCATCATCGTATCCCGGGATGATCCCGATTCTTCTTCCATGACGCCTGACACAGCTTTCTGTACAGTAAGCCCTGGGTTCCGTGAACTTCAGAGCCCGAAACAGCTACTCAGCTACTCCGTCTCTCTTTTGGCACTGAAGGCACTTGGGACTCGTCGGTGAACTACATCCGCAGGCAAGGTTCTGATCTGAAAGTGTAATCAAGTTCACTGTAGATACACCCCGAAGCCAATCTATGTGAAGAGCAGAACACACACACACAGGATGCACAGTGCAGGCTGAACGCATGTTTTGTGTGTAAAGGTACATATATTCATATATATATATATAGATACACCCGTACATACACAGATACGTATATATTAAACATACATGCATTCACACATACGTTGACTTACTTGCTTGCTTGCTTGCTTGCTTGCTTGCTCACTCAATCACTCACTTACTTACTTACTTACTTACTCACTCACTGACTTACTTCCTTACTTACTTGCATGAATTCAGTCTTTCTGGCTTTCATTAATTTAATTCTTCCATTAATGCTTTCACACAAACAAAGAAGGAAAGAAACAAGCAAGCAAACATACATACGTGCGTACATGTAAACATACTTACATACATGCATACATGCATACATACATGCATACATACATACTTACAAACATGCACACATACACACATACGTACATACATAAATAAACACATACACACATACACACATACATACATACATACATACATACATACCTACGTACGTACGTACGTACGTACATACATACATACGTACATATGTGCGTACATACCCACGGTCGTTCATTCGTTCATACATTTTTACATTCGTACGTACACACACACATAGATACGAATATGATACAGATGGATATGTAGACGATTGCATTTGTCCCCTTTTCTTCATCTTCTCAGTAGGACGGCCTTCTTTGTGACACTTGTAACTTGTAGCCCTGCCAGGGCTCGCAGCTCAAGGTAGGGAGAGCGCCGGGCTCAGCCATGGTGTTCACTCCAAGTGCGCTAGAGGAACGGTGCAGGAGCTGGGAGAAAGGTGCTCCAACCTTGAAGCGGCAACCTGTCTTCAGCTTCTACTCAGACTACACCTTCAGCCTGCTGGAGCCTGTTTTCAGAGACGTATGTCATGGCGCAGATCATGAAAGGCTTTGTGAAGCGACTCAGCAGCAATTCTGCCAGATGCTGGACAGATGTGATTCGGTAGATTACCAGAGCTGCGACGATTATGTCGATGAGCTCATGACTCTGTGCAGTGATATCACTCGTGAATGCAGTGGATCGTCGTTTGCCCAGTGGCGCCTTGGTGCCGATGCAGAAAGCGAGCTGCGAAAGGGCTGGATACACTTTGTTCGTCTCATCGGCATTCGTGACTATGACTGGGAGAATGTGATGAAATGCTTGTCCGACCTCCCAGAACATGATGAGATATCCCAGACAAAAGCAACGACCAAGATGGTGCAACAAGCCATCCATCAGAAGCTGTTGGTCCCTCTCCAGCTTTGGTCATTTTTGCTCAGAGCTGCTGCAGGGGCAGCCGGTTCAGCCAGCCCTGCAAAGAGGCAAGGATATGTATAGCTTACATGCAAGTACAACTCAGGGCAATGACACTTTCGATACAGCATACATAGATACAAGAAATCTGTGTATGCGTATATATACATATATATATATGTGTGTATATATGTATGTGTATATATATATGTATACATATATGTGTATACATATACATATAAGAATGCAGATACAGATATGATCTGGATACATGAAGATCTTACATTGCAACTTTTCAACGGCTTCATGCACAGACTCTGCGACGAGGGAAAAGCTGTGGGCGTTGCTTTCTTCAAGCTTTGTCCTTACCTAGACCCTAGAAGTATGTAGAATAATAGCCTTTGCGAGGTTTTGGGCCATTATTTTACCTACTTTTGGGGGTTTAGGTAAGGTCTTGGGGACTAGTGACTAGTGGTTGTCTGTGCAGTGCATTCCCATGAGCGCGTAACAAGTTGACCCGTCCGTGGTGCCTACAAACACACCCGATCAGAGTATGCTCATCCGGAGCCTTCTCTCTTAGAACCTGGATCGGAGCTTGCAGTCCGCCGTTCCTGTATTGCGGACCAAGTACGCCAATCTTTCATGCCTCGAGATGCAATGGTAGGCTCTTCTTCTGTCAACTCTTCCCAAACCCTTACCTTAACCCTTACTTAAAGTAGCTCTTATAGCACCGCTTGCAACTGATCATCATAGCGCCGAGTGGTAGTGTAGGGGCCTTAATAATTAGAATAGGGTCTTGGGGGTTCCTTATTATAATGATAGTATATTATACCCCAAACCCTATCCAACTTATTAACGCCCCTACATTACTTCCTCTGCAGGCTGGACAGGCGCAGCGCCCCAAAGCTCGGCCTGCGCAGCGTCAAAGACCCCGCGCGCGCAAGTCGAAAAGCCGGCCTGCTCGAAGCCTGGGCTTGTATGGCTTGTAGACATACAGACAGACATACATACATACATACATACATACAAATATAAATATGTATATATATGTGTATATATATATATACATACTACACATATACGCTCCCGCCACGACAGGGAAATCGTTTCTGAAGGTCGGCTGCCGCACATCCAC